CATCCTAAGTGCACACACACAGCAGTGAACACACACACACTGCACCTACACCTACAATCCCTGCCGGTACGAGACTCGAACCCACAACCTTGGGTTACGAGTCCGACTCTCTAACCATTAGGCCACGACTTAATTGCTCAATAATCACAATTTAGCTTTTTTGATTTTTATAATAGTTCAGGGAATGTATCTTTAGCTTACAGGGTGATTGATTTTGGGATGGTCTGCATGTTTCTTCTTTATCTCTTCAAAGTGTTCCTCCTCTTTTTTGCGCGCATCCTCATCCAGTGTTTTAAGATGTTCCCTCCGATCGTGTTCCTTTGCCATCTCATACCTCTTGAAGTCTTCATGTCTTTCCTTGTCGAAGTTTTCCAGGTCATTAGTGGCCTCAATTTGACAAAATAAGGAAACAAAAAGAGAGGAAAATGTAAATGTGTGGAGACCAATAGATCATTATATACTGTAGATCTCCAAAATAATATTGAATTGCACTTGGTGAATAATACAAGCTAAGACTGTTGACCCTCACTGATGACAGTGATGTGTGCAAATCAAAGATGAAAAGAATCTATTTGGAAAAAAAAGAATCAGAGACGTTTTTGCTTTTAATTTAATTTTGGGCACTTAAAGCAACTGTTTTTAAGTTGTTTACCTTTATGTCAGTTTCAAAATCATTCTGACTTATAATAAGGTGAATGGCTTCTGTTTCTTTCCCTCGCTCCACCCAAACATCTGTTCTTGGACTATGTAAGTTTGGTGAACGGGTACAAAATTTCACAAAAAGGGCAGATTGGTTTACGGCAGCAACAAATGCATCTGTGCAGCTATCCATTGCAATTATGACAGTGATATAGCTCCAAAGTTGCAAAAGTACACAAAACTATGTACAAAAAGTATTTGTTTCATCTATGTTGTGACAAATATGTGGAATTTTTTATTTACGTTTGTACATTTAAATATGTCACATATTTACATTGCATTTACGGATTTTATCCAAAGCGACACTGCATTCAGGGTGTACATATTCAGAGTTCTGGCATGAAACTCTAGATGGCGCAGTCCGATAAGTCTAACTCAATCTGACCTAAGGACACCATCACATAGCACAGCTGATTGGTTCTCTCCTGTATCGGTAGCCAATGAGCTCGCTGCTCAACATTCAAATATATGATTAGTGCTTGCAGTAGCAGTTGCAGCATGCTTCAGAAACCCTCCACCTCCCCCAGCTCCACCTGTATAGATCTGCTACGAGAGGATTCATGTATGGTATATGGGGTTATTTCATGTGTTATATTTGCAGCAGCAATATTTCTTATATGCTGACAGCAGCATGTTGTGGATGTATTGGCAGTAGCAAGTCTCGGTACTTGCTCTGCTGCAGCAGCAGCGTAGCAGATCTATTCCGCCAAGACCAAATACATTAACATTGTCATGTACATTACCATGCCAATCCCTCCGAGAGTTGTCATGACAGAAATGATCAATTCCTTCATTCCCTAGACTCCATGACATTGGTGTTGCTAGCACCATGCTCTACACTTTGAGCTACAGGGATAAAACTATAAGGTTTTTATGACAGGTACAGTTACACAGAGACAAATTTACCTGCATTTTAATCACAAATACGCTAGGAGAAACAGCTAAATAAATAAATCCCCATAGTCATAGTGCCAAAAAAAAAAAAAAAAAAAAATATATATATATATATATATAAAATCTATTTATATAACAAATATTTAATATATAAGGAAATAAATATTTATGGCCAGTACATTTTACCTACCAAAAAAAAGTTGCCCTGAACGTAAGTGTGAAAACTGTGAGCGTAGAATAAAACCAACAGGAAGTCAGATATGGAGCCTACCGATTTAATGAGGCGATCCAAATCTTCCACTTCGAATGTATGTGGATTCATGTGATTCAGATGTTCAAACTGTTTCAGAAGTGCCTGGTGGTCCACTGTCATACCTTTAGGGAAATTAAGAGCATGTCATTTTTCATATATGTTTCTTGTCTTTGCAGCAGGCCAGAGTTACAGGTTTATAAAGTAAACTGTGATATGGGGAGTTTGATCAATGGCACTTTCAGATAAAACATTCTATATCCTCGCAAATCTGTGCTCTGTGAGCCTGGCGACCATAAATGAAACAAAGATGGTTGAGGACATTTTACAATATGCTCTAGTGCAAATGTGAGCCACAAAACAATAACAAAAGTAAAGTGCTGCCTGTGATACCTTTTTCTCCATTCATGTCTTGTTTGACTTTGATTAGGGTCCGCAGTCTGTTTACTTCTTGCCTCTTTAGCTCATCAAGTTTAGTTCGCACATGATGGCTGACAAAGTCCAACTCTTTAGCCAGTTTCCCTAGCTGTTTTCCCCACACAGAGAATGAGAGGTAAGCAATGGTGTTTAGATAATCCGACTAAGCCAGTCTCCAAAGTAGAATGGGGAAATAAAGTGGTGCAATACCTTGATGTCTTCCATGTCTGTGTTATGAAGTTTCTCTCTGAAATGTGGGTCCTTTTCCAGGAAATCAATAACCTCTCTGAGATATCGATCATAGTGCAATCCAGTGTCCTAAATGAATTGAAATTAGATGTACAGAGTGGAGTAAGGAAAAAACACTAGGGAGACTAAATCTTTTTTTAACCTATGTGAACATTTACAAAATGACTGAGCAATCAGAGTGTCTATGTAAGCTGAACACTCCTTATTATAAGGAGCACAGCTTATTATAAGCACCACATATGTAATGCCTGCTTACCAAACCTGTCTGAAGTGTCACACTGCATATTAGAGAGAAGCGTCACACCCATTTTAACACTATTAGTATAAAGACATGTTTGTCATAAGTTGTTAAAAACGTTTTTTTTTTCAAAAAGAGAGAAAAAAAAACAATCATATTACTTACTACACTTTTAGGTGGCTCCAGTTCCTCTACAGGAGGGCTCACTTTGGTCTTATCCACAGCAACTGGCAGTGCATCCAAACAAGCCCAGAGACACAATATCAAGAAGAAGTGTGATGGTCGCCACATCTGTGAGAGGACAAGAACATCACCACTGTCATTTCTGACATAGATGACTATCTAGATGGAATTACTGCATGTTTGAGATATGAAGATGTGTAAATGATCTATTAAGTATTATTATCAATATATTCTTTTACAATAGAATTATATCTTAAATTGTCCAGAACTTATTAAAATAAAATATATAATGTAGTATTTGCTTTTATAATAATAACAATTATAATGTACAATGTACAACACATTATGTACTAAATGACTTTATTTTCTTAATTTCTTTTTCTATGAACACAAAACTACAACGTTATTACTCCACCATTCGTGTCTTTAAGCAACATCAGTAGTAAAACAGAGCACAGCAGCTGACATTATAAGGAGCAACAGGTGAACACCTACCCTAAAAGATCCCCTGAGAGTTGTATTTATAAACTCGATGTTGCTGTTTTCGCCACAGATATAATCGCTCTGACAGCTCATTTGCAACTTGTTTTACCTGATGTGTGCTAAACACAGCTCCTTAACATAAACCCCGGCTGCTGAGACGTGTAGCCACGCCCCTCGCTCTGGTGATTGGAGAAACCATCGCGCTTCCGCCTTTGATTTCTTTTTCGCGTTGCTCTGTCATTGAACACGCAATCTGTCTGTCAAAGGTTCCCATGGTAACTTGGCAAGACGTTTGTTAGAAGAGGTACGTGGCGTTCGCGAGTCCAGCGTTCCACGAGTGTCGCCGTCATTCCCGCTTCTTCAGTGCTCCACAGAAAGCAAACCTATCACAACAGCTGTTATCACTGCATCAGTAGTAAAACAGAGCACAGCAGCTGACATTATAAGGAGCAACAGGTGAACACCTACCCTAAAAGATCCCCTGAGAGTTGTATTTATAAACTCGATGTTGCTCTTTTCGCCACAGATATAATCGCTCTGACAGCTCATTTGCAACTTGTTTTACCTGATGTGTGCTAAACACAGCTCCTTAACATAAACCCCGGCTGCTGAGACGTGTAGCCACGCCCCTCGCTCTGGTGATTGGAGAAACCATCGCGCTTCCGCCTTTGATTTCTTTTTCGCGTTGCTCTGTCATTGAACACGCAATCTGTCTGTCAAAGGTTCCCATGGTAACTTGGCAAGACGTTTGTTAGAAGAGGTACGTGGCGTTCGCGAGTCCAGCGTTCCACGAGTGTCGCCGTCATTCCCGCTTCTTCAGTGCTCCACAGAAAGCAAACCTATCACAACAGCTGTTATCACTTAAGCTTGGCTGTTGTTTGTAAGGTGGGTCATGACGCTACATTCCAGAATGTTGAAACTGGAACAAACTGATTTGGTTTAGGAAAAAAAAAAAGGTAGGAACCACTAATCTATATAGGCTAAATGAGCTTATAGATCAGTGGTAAGAACATAATGTTATGTATGTAATATGTAATAATACACCTTAAAAATATGTTTTCCCCTAGCAATTTAGTGGCCAAATAAGACAATTTCAGACATTTTTTAAATTTTAATTTTACAGTTTGTAAGTCTTTGTATCAAGTAAATGGTGAGTTGGTGCATTTTCCGTGCCTGTTTTCAATATTTTCCTCGCATATTTTGATTATTCACTCACTGCCTCTCCTTCCAGTCTATTAAACGTTTGTATCCCTCAGAAACTATTTAAGAATAAAAGAGCATAATTCACCTGTTAAATGTCTTGAAATGTAAACATTTGAAGTAAGGAATGAAGTCCACCGAGGGGTTTTTTTTCTTTGTGTATTTGTATGTGACATACAGCTAGATTAGACAATAGACTACAGCTCTGGGTGTTAAAAAACGTAAACACAGCTCAATATTACACTCAATTCTAGACCAAATCAGCATAAGTTAAATGTGGCTTTTACAGTGATTACATTGTATTTAGCTGCTGTATCCTTTTAGTAGATATAATAATGGGAGGGTTTGTTATAAATTATATCCTTATGATTTGCAATGTATACATCTAGCCTTTAGATGGCACTTAAAGCCTACCAATGAAATACTGCAGTCCCCTTCTAAACATGAGTAGATACAGTATCAAGTGCTTGTTAATGTTTATGTAACTGAAAGCAAAGGCATATCCAAGTTTACATTCTTTCTTTTTAAGGTAATCAATTAATTTTGATGCCTTTATATCTGTGTACATACACCTCAAAATAGCATAGGATATTAGGAACGACAACTTCCACTATTTCTCTAAGGTTGAGTTTGCATCGAGTCTAATGTTGTTTTGCGTTGGTTGCTGTTTGTTTTGTTGTTATTGCTTCCCTCCTCCCTTACACCTCTGTTTTGTTTGACTTTGCTGATTGTTTGGCATTTGTTCTTATTTTTTGTCTTAAACTCTGTTTGACTAGTAGTTTTGTGTTTGCCTGTTTTTGTGCAGAAAGTAATTTAAGCATTTCTAACTTTCCAGCAGCTAACCTGATAGGTTAGTTGAAAAAGCAGGCTGTTTTTTTGGCATATTTAGGGTAATAATGTTGTTGTTGTTTTTTTGTAATAATGCATTTGGCTTTTGCTGATCTTTTTGTTGTTATTTAATTAATTCATTTTAAATGTGTTACTTCCAAGGTAATATAGTCAGGAAAATCAGCTTTATTAAGTGCATTTAGAAAAGTCAGATTATTTTCAAAAGATTATTTCAGGTCCTGCTTCTGTAATACTGCATTTGGCCATCATCTAGCACAGTGTCACTATCCTTATTTGTTCCCACCTTGACTAACCCTGAGCATATGTTGTTCTCATAACCTCCTGAAAACAGCTGCTGTTTAAAGAATCTTATCTACAGATAGATCAATAGAGCCATCTGGTGGTTTTTCGTAGATTTAATCTACAAAACAACAAAGACATTTGAGCAATATAATTAAACTGGCTGTTTGTGTGTCTGGAAATACATGAATAAAATGAATACTAGAATATAAAGTCCACTAGTGAAAATCCTTCTGTTGTGCATATTTGTAATTTAATATATTTAAATAATATACATTCTTATTGCAATTCTTCTGTTATATTATACATTTATATAATATAATACAAACATAAATACTATATAATATATATATATATATATATATATATATATATATACATACATACAGTACTTTTGTGGTTGAGGTCAGTTTGAATTAATTAATGGCTACTTTTAAATTAATAAATTTTTTGGCATGGCTACAGTGAAGACTTTTACATTGTTATAAAAAAGAAATTTTTTGCAAAATCTGCATTTTCAAAATGATTTATGTGACACTGAAGACTGGAGTAATGGCTGCTAAAAATCCAGCTTTGCCATCACAGCTATAAATTACTGTGGGGGAAGTCATGGCCTGATGGTTAGAGAGTTGGACTCGTAACCCAAAGGTTGTGGGTTCGAGTCTCGTACCGGCAGGGATTGTAGGTGGGGGGGGATATCACTTGGATCGTGCCTCAAAACCCCTGATGTGCTACAGCCCTATTATGAAACTTCCTAACAGTTACACCACAAGGGGAAGATGTGGCCTAATGGTTAGAGTGTTGGACTCGTAACCCAAAGGTTGTGGGTTCAAATCTCGTACCGGCAGGGTTGTAGGTGGGGGGGGTGGATGTACAGCGCTCTCTCCCACCTTCAATACCACGACTGAGATGCCCTTGAGCAAGACACCCAACCCCCAACTGCTCCCCGGGTGCTGCAGCAAAAAAATGTCTGCCCACTGCTCCGGGGGTGTGTGTGTGTGGATAAATGCAGAGCACTAATTCCGAATATGGGTCACCATACTTGGCCACATGTCACGTCACTTTTTTTTTATTTTTTTACACTTTAAAATATATTAAAAATAGAAAACAATCAATTTAAATTGTAATAATTTTAATAAATGTATTGATGAAATACATTTGATCAAAGAAATGTATTGGTGAGCATGAGATACATATGTCAAAAACATTAAAAAATCTGACTATACATTTTTTGAAGGGTAGTATATACATTTTTCAGTATAACAATTTTGAGTGAAAAGCTGATTGGAGAATTTGAAATATTTTCTCATTATTACAAATGTTCAAAATCCTAAAACTTAGTTTATTTCCAGTTTTAAATTAGATTATGATTTACAGATTTGTATGTGGTCTCATATTTTTGAGCCCTATTGTATTCATTGTTCAGTAATGACAATTCAGCAATTCAGATATATACAGTATTATGAATGAATAGAATAAGGCCTGTAAAACATTTTGAACCAAAGAGCAAAAATAGTGGGAGTTTAGTGGGAAGTTCTAAGTTTCTGTACTAATATACCGAAGATCAAAAGTGTGGCGTATCTCTGCAGTACCGCTCCAGTGCTTCAAGGTGCAGGAATCAACCCATATTTCCATAACTAGATGGCCTCTGTGATGTTGCATGGCTGTAGCAATTTACCACTAAACACCCCACACAGATGCTAAAGGTGCAGTCTGTGTAGGCGTATATAAATAAGGCATAATCCTTTGTGATTGGAATTAATATATACACGTGGGTCTGAGGAGTCGCAGAAGTACCTCTGTGTGAAGTGCTGACAAGGCTGTGGGGCCAAACGGCCGGCAAGAACTCCACAATGCAGATGGATAGAGGAGGAGTTCTGCTTCAGCTCGGCTATGATTTATAGGCCCTGAGAGGAGACCGTGCATCTTTATGTCTGTGTGTGTGTGTTTGTGTGTATAATGTGTTGTTGTGAGCAAGATTTTTGAATTCTGACTTGTTGATGTGACAAACGTTGCTTTTCCGTACAAGCTTCTCTAAAAGATATAGAAGGGTTGTCTAAGGTAGTGTATACGCTGCTAGCCAAAAGTTTGGAATAGTTAGGATTTATAAAAAAATTAAAAAAAAAAAAACCTTTTTGGATAAAGTATTTTATGCTCACCAAAAAAAATTTGGAATAGTTATGATTTAAAAAAAAACATTTTTAAAAAACATAAATAAAAACCTTTTTGTATAAAGTCTCTTATGCTCACCAAGGCTAAATTAATTCAAATACATTCCAAAATGACTAAATGTAATGTAATGTAAATGCAACATGAACATTTAATGAAACTTTCTGAAAATTGCAAATCCTGTATCCCAATTGAGACATCTACAACAAAAAATAAATAAAATTCAAAAAATCAAAGCTGTTAAATTTTCAAATCAAATATTAATAAAACAGTAGAATGATCACTAGTGAAATAACAAGAGTTCAAATATAAAAATATAGATATCAACATGAACATTTAATGAAACTTTCTGAAAATTGCAAATCCTATATCCCAATTGAGACATCTACAACAAAAAATAAATAAAATTCAAAAAATCGAAGCTGTTAAATTTTCAAATCAAATATTAATAAAACAGTAGAATGATCACTAGTGAAATAACAAGAGTTCAAATATAAAAATATAGATATATATATGATCAATGCATCAATTCATATCGATGTATCATTACACCCAATACGTATTTATATTTGTATGCTTCTGAAGGAGATTTGATTTGTAATAACCAGGGCTGTCAACTGATTAACATTTTTAATCTAATTACTTACACGATGAGGAGATTAATTAATCGATTAATCACAGCAAATCTGGCTCAGAAATTAGCCCCAATAAATAATTTTAAGCCATTATTGTGTTAAATGAAAAACGCATCAAACAGACTTTACAAAAAGTAGCGTTAGAAATAAATTTTTAATTTTACTTTTTTGGGTAAACTAAAATATGGATTTATATTTTCATATTTTTTTATTAATATGGAAATGCTGAATTCTTTTTTTTTAATGAAATGATACTCTAAATAAGAAAATAAAACTTCCAGCAGGTGGCAGTCAATGTCTTAATGAGTGAGTCATTGAGTCATTCATTCACTTGATTAGTTTCATTCAGGAATTAAATAAATGGCTGTATAGGCCATTGAATCATTGGTTCACCCAATTAGTTTTAATATAAATGTTTTATAT